CTTGAAATTGAGGAGATGAATGTTGACTTGCGCTACCTTGACCTTTCTAGCTTATATTTGTACTTCAACGGATTAGCTTTCTCTTTGACCTGTTAAAAACTCCCTTGTGTGACTGGCTCAGTTAAAACCTTTAACATGATTATCACTACTATTATTTATTATTTATTTTTATTTACTCATTTATTTATTTATTTCATTGTTGCGTGTGTGTGTGTGTGTGTGTGTGTATGTGAGAGAGCCTATACAGTGTCCGTTTAGGTAGCCCGCCTAGAATAGCTTTGCTAACTGCGGGCTACAAAAGCCTTTATTTCTTTAATTTTAAAAATAAAGTCAATTTAATTTTAAAATAAAGTCAATCAGGTGTGGTCGCTCATACACAGATACAGATGCGCCTCCCCCAGCGAGGAACCTCAATCCAAACTTACAAGAAACAAATCAAGGGGTATTTGCAAGAACCAACAATGAGAGCAGAAACGTTGGAACCAAAGTGAAACAAATGTCATCTGGGCCGCATGAATCAATTCGATTTATCGCATATGAGGCAGGAAGTCAAGATCAGTCTATCTCTTCACAAAACTCGCGGCTGATGACGACGCATCCACTGGATATCATTCTTTTGCGAAAGATGGGTTTTGTCGCGAGAGGCACAAGGATCTAACCTCGATCAAAGATGTTTCCTCTGATGATCAGTCAAGCAATGCAATGCGTTCGATTGAAGATCAATCCGAAGATCAAGAGGAACTGCCCCAATTACCTAATCTTAGATTAGCACAGAAAATGCGACATCATTGTGAAGAGATCGCTCTTGAAAAAGACGAATTTGTTCCTGTGTACAAGCTTTTTATGGACGAGACTTTGAGGCTAGACAAGGAAATGATTGTCCGAAAATGCCTCAAAGACGATCAGAACTGTGAATCAATGTATACTCTGAAGGACCGACGAGAAAAAGTACTTTTGGTGATGGGAGCTACTGGAGGTGGGAAGAACACTCTAATCAATGGCATGATCAACTTCATCATGGAAGTTGAATGGAAGGACGACTTTCGATTCAAGTTAGTAACCGAGAAAGTTACTTCTCAACATGAAAGTGTAACAAAAGAAATTACTGCCTACACTATCCATCCATTAAAAGGTTCTAACATCCCTTACACTTTTACAATCATCGACACTCCTGGTTTTGGCGACACCAGAGGATTGAACCGAGATGTAAGCATCACCAACCACGTCCGAGAATTTTTTTCTTCGAAGCCTCCTAATGGAATTGATCATCTAGATGGGATTGGGTTCGTTACACAGGCTTCGCAAGCTCGCCTTACTCCAACACAGAAATACATTTTTGATTCTATTCTGTCCATCTTTGGAAAGGATGTTCAAAACAATTTTTTCATGATGTGCACTTTTGCAGATGGAAAAAGCCCTCCTGTTTTAGATGCTATCAGAGAAGCTAAGATATCCTATCAGGGCTACTTTAAATTCAATAATTCAGCTCTCTTCGCCAAGAATACAAATGCATTGAACTTCGACGAAATCTTCTGGGAAATGGGTCGTGAATCATTCAAGAATTTCTTTGAAAAGTTCGCGAAGGCCGAAAGCGTCAGTCTCCAGCTTACAAATGAGGTTTTGAAAGAAAGAGAACGTTTGGAGGTCCTTATAGAAGGTCTCAACCCCCAAATAAAGCAGGGACTCGCAAAACTTGAAACAATGAGACAAGAGAAGCTATTTTTGCAGCAACATGAAGCAGAAATTGAACATAGCAAGGAGTTTGAGTTTTATGTTCCAGTCCTGAAAGCAGAAGAATTCCCCCTCAAAGATACTGGAAAACACACCACTACCTGCCTGACATGCAATACTACCTGCCACGAAGATTGCAAAATTGCAGACAATGAGAGGAAGGCACAGTGTGTCGCTATGGACGCGGGAGGGAACTGTAGAGTATGCTGTGGAAAATGTAGCTGGGAAAAACATAAGAATGTGCCAGACTTGATTAAATACCATACGGTCAAAGAGAAAAGAAAATCTCGCGACTTGAAGGAAAAGTACGACAAAGCCGTTTCAGGGAAGTCCAAAGTAGAAGGCATGCTCATCCAATTGGAAAAGTGTCTGCAACAATTAAGGATCGACGTGTTATCCGACATGTACAAATTAAGGATGTCCCTCAAACGCTTAGATGAAATTGCATTAAAACCTAATCCTCTCACAGAATTACAGTAAATTGAACTTCTGATCAAGAACGAGATGAGAGAAGCACGACCTGGCTGGAAGGATCGGGTCAAAGCCTTCGAAGATTTCAAGAAGAAAGCTCAAATGTTCACCAAAATAAAGGAAGAACAAGAAATTCCAAAGTTACTAGATGAGCTTATTCCGCTGGAAGAAAAGCAAAATGAGTTGAAGGCAATATCTAAAAAAAGTAATTCGGGATGTGCTTTAATGTAAAATAAGTTGCAATCTGTGATTTGAACATGAATTAAGTAGAAATACGTATAGCTAATGCCACCTCTGTTGCACCGACTGCTTGAGTCTTTTTTCACCGGACTAAGTGTGTTTATCATCAAAGTTTACTTTGAAAGTCTGTCTTATTTTATCTACTGAGTGCTAAGTTGGGTACACTTTTCTTCCTGTGGCTGAAATGTTGTTCCACTTTGCCTTGCTGTGTAATAGTACAGGTGAAATCAACGTTTATATTTTAAAGGTGTGTCCTTGAGTAGCAGTAGTAGTAGTCTAGGCAGGGTAACATTTCAAACGCACTGGCAATTTTGAGGAATGGTCGCGTTATACTCTTACTCGAAGTTGGTCTTAATAGCGATTAGTTCACAGTGTAAGGTTTGAAAGTCTAAAAAGGTTCAAATTATTTGACACAGTTTTACATAGTTACGCACATTGGCTAGTTTTCATAGAAATTACTTGGTAAATAAAGTTAAGAGTTCATTAACTCTTATTACGAACTTAGGAAAGTTGTAATTTTGAGCACTCTAAGAAGAAACACAATAGATCCTACTAAAAAAATTTAGGGGTCCACAGAGAATGTGTTCCTTTTTTAAAAAACTATCTATGTAAGAAAAGAAGAAACCCTAATCTCAATACACTGGAGTAACACCTTACTGTTAGGCAACAAGTGGCTAGATTATTCTATATATTAGACTATATTAAGATGTTGTGTGACCAGAGTTTATGTTATAACACACAGTATCCAAAAACTTAATCGTTTGAAAGTATAAAGTAAGAGGATGACAAATTTTTCATTTGATTTAAAAAATTGTCAAATAGCTCTTGTTTATTTAAGTAGGGCGAGTTCTGATAGCAAATATGACAGTGTTTTTTTTTTAATTTTTTATTATTTGGTCAACAGTGACTTAACTTTTTAGTAAGTGTGGTCCATTGAGCACCTGGGGAGCTTAACTTTTTTCGATTACCTTATAAGTATCACCAACCCAACGTTGGTACTTAGTAGCATAGTGCCTATACTTTACGGGTATTAGTAAATCGGGGTGTCTGAGTTAAGAATTTTTCGAGTCAACATATTACTCATGTTTGAAATACATATCGGACAAGCTGCAGACGGAGTGTAAGAACTGTAGAATTCATATAGGACAACTCAGACTGTTGATCCAGTTTCTTTGGAAGTCTCTATACATCTCGTTACTATCAGTATTATTCAAGAGGTATTCTAGAAATCTCAACTCCACGTTACTTTTGTGGTAGATCACTCGAGGCTAAGGTTTTAAGGAGTTTTAAGAAAGAGACTATTTAGACTATACTAATTGATCGTAATAATGGTTTTAATGAAAGTGATAATATAAGTAAAAGAACCAGAATAAAGCAGAAGAAGAAGAGGAAGAGGGAAAAAAGAAAAAGAGGACAAAGAAGAGTGTTAACGAAAGAAGATGAAGAGGAAAAACAAGAAGGCAATATGAAGATGATGGAGAGAAAGTCGGAAAAAAGAAGCTTGCAGTAGATCACGAAGAAAAAGAGGGTGAAGAAGAATAAAGACAAAGAAGAGTAAGAAGAAAGAGGAGAACACGAAGAAAAAAAGGAACAAGAATAAGCACGAGACCACGACAAACAGTGCGATCAAAAACAGCTTGAAGAATGAGGGAAAGAAGAACAAGAAGAACAAGAATAAATAAGGGAAGAAGATAATGAATAGGTATAGCCAAAAGATGAAGAACCACTGAGAAGTACATTAAGAAGAGGGAGAAAGACAGAAAGAAGAAACAAATCTAGAAGAATAATAAGAGTGCGAAACAAAAAAAAGGGAAGAAGGAGAAGAACAACGACAACGAAAAGGAAAAGAAAAACAGGACCAAGAAGAAGAAGAAGCAGAAGAAGAAGGAAGGAGAAGAAATGGAAAAAGAGGAAGGAGAAGAGGAAGACAACCACCAGTAAGAAAGAACATAATTCGAAAATGGGAAAGTAAACAACAAAGTAAAGAGAGGAAGAGGACAAAGGGTAAGCGGAAGGAGAGGAATGAGAAGCAGAAGAAGTGTAAGTGCAAACAGCAATCTACCTCTTCACTGCTTCCAAGCGCTTCCATTCAGCATGAGAAACTTTTGACTAAGGTAACTAATTAGCCTCTAGGAACTGGTTAAAGTAAAGTTAACAGTGGAGCAAAGGAGCCTACCCCGTTAGAGTTTATCCTGGTTTTAGTAAAATGAAACAGCTAACAGTACTGCCGCCTCCCCTGGAGAGAAGGCCAGTCCATTGAAAGTTACCCCGCAGAATTTTGTCAGGTTTACCTGAAGGTTTGCGGGTACTCCCTTATCATGCTGAGTGAAGAGGGCACTATGAGAATGTTTCGTCTCGCCAAAAGACGAAACATAATGACTCTGCCAGGTCTGTGGAACCCTAACTTTTTGATCAATGGTCCAACGGATTAAAAAACTATTTCAAGGATTTTATGAAGAAAGCCCATCCTCCCTTTTGGAAAAAGACTCTCTACGAGTTTACAAACAAAATCAATGTTCGTTTTGTGGCTGGCTTTTAATCCATTTTATTTTCCCTATAGCGTTATAGAACGCATATGCTATCACCACACATTTCAGTACAGCACATCTTCACAGTCACATGGTCATACTAGTAGATTATGATGGAATACTTTAGAACAGTGTTTGCTTCGTAATATGATTTGAAGGCTTAAAGATCTTGGGTTTACCTTACCGAACAACTCAACCCAGTTACATTCTCAAGAACTATCTCACTGCTTTCTTCGGTATATCTTATATTCAGGACGGAATCGAGTTATGCAGAATGATGTCTTTGGGCTGCCATAAATCGAACCATGAGGTTCGAGGTGATACAAGGCCTTAATATTCAGGGCTGCTTCTCCCCATCTCACCAGGAGTTGTAACACTTTTTACTTCATGAAAACCTACTGGCTGAGACACAAACCTGTGTTGGATGTGAGAGGTGATGATTCACCATTCGGTCGCAGGATTACTAGCTTACACTAGCAAAGCCAGATGTCGAGAAGGCATCGTGATAGAAGCTTTAGAGTTAGGTGAGTCGAATTTTCTCAGTAATACATGGTAAGACTACATTAGCGTCAACTCTGCCCTAGCTGATCATCGTACTACTACAAGCGGGGCCAAGCATGGTTACTCTATGTCAGAGGGTTATGAGGCAAAAGAGATAAAGCTACTACTCAGCGTTTTTTCATTAAGGGTGCAGATGCTAAATGTCAGTTATGACACTCTAATGATTGTGTGGTTCCTTTAAGACGATTTGAGGCGAGATGGCCTCATGGTTGGCTAGCTGGACTTAAAGATCAAAAGGGCCAAATGGGCCACGTCACTGCGTTGTGTTCTTGGTCAGAACACTTCTTTCACGGTGCCTCTTCAACCCAGGAGTACATACATCTCATTAAACGTTTTGTTGTGTAGTATCGCAAAGTATTTTTAAGAGTTGTGCCTTATTTTGACGAGGCCGAAGAACGCGTCAAAATACAAATAACAAGTAAAAATGCTCAGCGATACTACACAACAAAACGTCCGAATAAGACATTTATGATCCAACACGCCAAATTGTTATTTCAGAGTGGGCGAATTTCGCGGATATTTCTGGAGTACAAATATTGCATGATATTTGTACTCTTACTAGGCGTTATTTGTACTCTGCGAAGCACAGTTATAAGAAAAATGGGTACGGTGAACCAACCAAATGCCTCAAGGGAGGAAGGGGGCGGAAGGCGTTGTCAGGAAATCGGAAAAAGTTCCAACCAATGCGCTTCTTAGCTCATAAACTAGCTTTATTTAAGTTTACCCTCTGAGAAAGAATTTTTGTAATCGCGAATTACTACAATCATTTGCATACCCGGCAATGTGATTTTTAAATCTAGTTTAAACGTTTATTTTGAAATGGTAAAGGTATAGCGATATGAAGTCTTTATATTATGTCTGGCATAGCTGCTCTGCTCATATCAAACGTTTGGAGGTTTTTTTCATACCGAAAACGTCGGGGTTTCTTTCGCTCCAGCTACTAACCCTAGTTATTTCTCTTCCGTTTCATTTTAGAGCGTGAGCGAGACTGGCGTAATGACGCCTTATCCGGATTTCTTTGCACGTTACGTATAAGTGGTTGTGATGGCGAAAATGCACTAGCATTAGTTTTGATGATCGTGCTACCTTCCCAAGTGAAAGTTATCGCTCGCTGAACCAAAAACACTAAGAATACTAAGTATAAATGCTGTGACAAAGAAGACGATAGCTTACAAGAATTTATACTCATTGCGGTATGCAATTATGTTAGCAGAAAACAAATGCAGGTCTATCTAATTTCGGTTTAGGACTTTACGGTTTGTTTGGGCTGTCTATAAACACTCACTAGGCATTTTGTCGATCGATGAAAACTGAGTCTATCGCTTTTTTGTTCTTATTATTTCCACTTTTTTCTTAATGCCGCTGAATTTTGATTGTCAATAAAAATATTGTTGTGATTATGCTTTGATCTAAGTGTTCTACAGTTTCTCTAGTTTGTCATCTCCAAAGAGTGGACATCTTTAAAAAAGACCTTACACACTCCCCTTACGTGGCACATTAAGATAAAGAAGGACTCAGGCAAACCCTAAACCACTGCCCTGTAGTTTTGCCATGTTATACCAAACTGTGTGTGGGACAAAGTGAATTAATGATTGACAAGCTTGACTCCATTACTCCGAAATGTCCTGGCCCGAGTCATGGCTGGATCATTCTGTTGTATTGTTCAGGAATACTCTCAGA